AGCCTGTTCATCTATTGAAGTATTTGACTTATTCTTTGCAGAAATCTATTCGTATGTTCTGTTCCCCCCCCCAGGGTAGAGAGAACAGATATGTTTTTAACAATCAGCACAAAAAATGCTGAAAATTATTAGCTTCAAGATTCCTATTGTAAACATATTACAAATGATGTGGGACTGCCCTCCACCCTCCCCCTCACCCCTGGTCTAGCAGGCAAGAAAGCACAGCCAATCTACAGCCATCATAGCTCTGTCCTGTGCTGTGAACCAGCCTTATAATAATTTGATGTCTGTAGGTAAACCAACATTTCACCCACTACTGATGACCAAGGAACAGTTAAGAAGATTGTACAGGGGCACCTAGCCTTTGTATTTCCACAGCACATTCTTCAGAAGTCAGAAAAATTATTAAACCCTAGCATTTGCCCTCCTTTGCCATAAATAGCACTGATAGTCCTTTAGGTGAAGATAACAGGAAATTGAAAGGCCTAGACCTATAACTAAAAACTGGATGCCCCGTCAAGAATAAATGACATTTCTATATCAATGACTCACTGTTCCTTTACTTTTTCTACAACTATGCTACTCTGTAGAAGCTATATAACTGAACTCAAATTTGGGGTAGTCAGAGCAGTTCTCAGAGTAAAATCTGCCAAAGTTTGCCAGGTTCTAATCCTCACCTTGATTTTTCTAATAAACTCTTTGTCTATCATTGAGACTTTTATTTCAGTTACACCATGAAGGAGGGCAAGGTTTGCAGGCCACCATCACAGTCGGGAGTGAGAACCAACAAGTAGGGCAGCATACGGGGAGGCAGACTGTGGGTTTGCGCCTTGTGACCTGAGACACAGCAGCGTCATAGTCTTCCCAACAACCTGAGAACAGTCCAGACACAAACAGGGATTTTTTTCAACTGCTCTCGCCTACCTGCTATCATTACAGGGGTTGAAGGATCCTGGGGTGACATTTGCCCCACACTCACCCATTACTCAACAAGCAATGGCATTTAGATATATACCTGCCATCCCACAGGTGGTCAAAGTTGAAACTATGTAGAACTCGGATGCAGCAGACACCCCCAGATCCTAGTGAAAAGGTGAATTGCTAGGTGGGTGGACGTGGGAGGAGAGTGTGTTGGGGCCTGCCGCCCAAGTTCAGTGTGCTATCTCCCCTTGACCTTTCTGGTGACACAGATCTTACTAATAACACACTTGTCTGTGGGGTCTGTGATCAGGCTAGCAATTGTTGAGTGATCTGGGGAAGATTATTTTCTTTTCAGTCTCAGTTTTCTCATCCGGCTGACAGGAATCATAATAACAGAATTGTTGTAAGAAATAAACGAGTTCCTTTAGCTGAAGCACTGAGCCCCATGCTAGTTCATATGAACAATGAGTTGATCATTGGTATTAGATGAAAACAATTCATTTTTGTTTCCCTTTCTAAAGTCCTGTGGACTTACCTCATGTTGTAATGTGACCCATCTTCCCCAGTGATAGGGAACAAGAAATCTGCATTCTAGTTCTGGTCTTCTAATGACGTCAGTATTTGTTCTTGGATGAATTATTTCATCTTTGCAGATTAAGTTAAACTCAGTTTATTATCATTACATGCCAGAAATCCTAAATACTATCATTTGCAAGCTATTCCTCTTTCCAAACAGCAAGCATTCACCTATGTCCTAACAAATGCTGGTTACTGTTGAATTTTAATAATATGTAGGAATACTTCAAGTTAGCATGTTTTCATCATCTATCTTGAACAGGTATTGTGTCCATAGGGACATTAATTTGGAGAGCTTCTAGCTACACATTTCCCCTCAGACAAAAGAGGACTCGGCTACATGCACACCTGTAGAAAGTTCACGCTCACTCTAGCACAATCTGTTTCTTCCAATCTCTGTGGCATGATGTATCCCTGCATTTAAGCCGTAGAATCAAAGTAAACATGGGAACATGCAATTATAATGATTAGAAAACAGAATTGAATGTCATTCTCTATGATCACAGGGAGTTTTTATTTGTATTTAAAATTTTTTCTCGGTGCTGCACAAGGGTACCAGGAAGGTGAGGAAATGGAGTACAGGTCCTGTACTGTACACAGCCCCAATCACAGTACAGCATTTCCATTACACCATTCAATAAAGAACCACAGGATGATGCAGTGTTCTCTTCCCAGCCTTTGCTAACTATCACAGAATGTTTAATGATTATTTATATATTGCTCAATAATTATTTGTATGTTTTATTCATTTTTCTATGCATTTTCATTTTTTAAAATTTGAGATACATGGGACAATAATGTGCTGAATGATGTGCCCATCACTCATTGAGAAGACATGTCTGAATGGTAATTTTATTGTGGCAAGTAAAATGTGTTTTCTCATGGATTAAATTTATACAGCACACAAGGCAGGGGAATCCTTTGAAAGATAAATACATTGGGTTCTTTCTGCCAATAAGGACAAAAGACTTCCTTGTTATCATTAGTGAAAAGTAACACACACTTTTAAAGTTCTGTAGACACTGAAAAAAAGAAAACAATGCCATGAGTCATCTATTTCACAGGCAGTACTGAGAAGTTATATAAATCTCTGCCTCTGGCAAAGAAACACCACACCAACCCTAGATCTAAGAACAATTGTCTCTGGATGGCAGCTATGCAAGTGGCTGCACTGTGTGCTGTGTGTCTGCTGCCCAGCAGCCTGGCCCTGCCACTGCCCCAAAGCCGAGGAGGCTGGAGTGAGTCGCAGTGGGAACAGGCTCAGGTATGTCATGGACCTACTCACCTGGGGTCCCCCAGTCTCACCATTAGCATTAAGAAATCTGTTTCTCACCTCGATAATTTTTTCTCATTATAAAAGCAATGTATGTTTTAATCAGGTAACTGCTAGGAGCAGACTTTAGAGCCTGCCCGAACCAGGTTCAAATTCAAACTCCTCTGCTCACCATCTACATGTACATAGGCAGGCATTATTCAGCTTTCTCTGAGCTTCATTTCCTAACCTGAAATTTGAAGATAACAATGGTATCAATCAAATGGGGGTGTGGGGAAGCTCTTAACAGAGTACAGAAAACATCCTTCATAGTCCAAGTTGAAATTGTTACTGATTTTATTACTTAAAGTAACTTGAGATTCTTTTCACAAAGAGCAGAGTGCTGCCTCTTAAGATGAGGGCCAGTTGTGAAAGGAGACACTTGAAATCAAAAAAGCAAGGGTGGAAGTTACAGCTTTCCCACCTGCAAGCCATATGATGTATAAGCTATGGTCTAACTTGTTTTCTTTTATGTCCAATGGAAATAGTAATACTATATGTTGTATACTTCTCAGGATTATTCTAGTGAATAAATGAAGGATAATATTACCACTATCATGTATGGAACAACTGGCGTGTCAAGTGCTTCATTCGAATACATTATATCATTGACGCTCAGATCCATCCTGGGAAAAAAAAGAAATCAAAGTTCAGCTGATTTGCATGCTTGTTAGTGGTAGAGATAGGCATCAAGGACAAGTTTCAGAAATACTATCATTTGGGCCTCCCTGGTGGCACAGCGGTTGAGTGCTGGGTTGCGAAGCTGCCCGCAGCATCTGCAGCGCTGGTTTCGATCCCCGGCCACCGGTGAGGGTCCCACATGGGACCTCTCCTGCCGCAGACCTCTCCTGCCGCCCGCTGCTCCCCTCAGCAGTGTACTTCGGTCCTTCCGCCTGCTCTGCTCCCCGCTTTAGCTCTGGTGAATTCTCTCACCCTCCAGCTCTTCTGACTGTACCCAGTGCTTGTATAAATAAATAAATAAATCTTTAAAAAAAAAAAAAAAAAGAAATACTATCATTCCAATATACTATTTAATACATAGCCAAATGAGTGTATATTATTATTTGGTAAAATAAGGGGATGTTTACTCCTAACTATTGTTTGTAAATATAAGCTGTATGCATAAGAAAGGAGTTTTGTTTCATTTTGACTTTTAGAAATCCCAGTGATGTTAGATTGAACCATATGAAATTACTGATATTTGTTTTTTTTAAACCTCCACAACAGCAATTTCATATGGTTTCACCTAATGGGTTCCCCAGAAGTACACTTGCAAGAGTGGTTAGTCCCTTTACTTAGTTTGCACATTGTCAGTAAACTACAGGAAAGTTAACTAGGTTTAATGGAAGGCAGGAAAATTTATCTCAAGAATGCAGAGATATTTCTCCAGAGAGTGCCTTTGTAAAGTCTGTTGCTCTAGAAGGGATGAGAGGAGCTGTTTTTAAATAAGTGGTTAATTACTAATTATCATGGATGAACAATAAGCAGTTATTATTGTGAATGAAACAGTCATTGGTAACAGGAAGAGAGAGCACAGTATTTCTGAGGTGATTTACATCAAGTGCAAACTCCTGTGAGGTTCTGAGACAAGGCATCATCACTACCTGCTCCAAACTAGACAGTAAATGAGTGAGCCAATGTTTGAATCCTTTCAACAATTCTATCCTGCATCACAGCCCTGTACATTTTTCTAATGAAATGGGCTTTGCAATTGGAATACAAGTCCAACTGTCTCTTCTAGTTACTTAGAGTGTGACCTGAGGCAAATTATCTCCCTTCTCCCTTCACATGTTTCACCCTATGTGAATAGAAATAACAATGTTGTTTCTACTGCATAGGGTGGTTCTGAAGCTTAAATGAGATGAGTATGTAAAGCCTCTGGTAAAGAACCTGCCATTTGTAAGAACTTAATAAACATTCCTGTGAGGCTGCTACTAGTATTTCTTGCAACAGGTTTTTTGTTTTGTGTTGTTTTTTTTCCTCTTTAAGGCTGTTGGATAGGAATCCTCATATCCAGGGGTTAGAGTCCTTTAAGAAATTTCCGGGGAGCTAATTGCGCATGAATAGACCTGGAAGACCTGCTTTATCCTGCAGGCTCATGAAATAAGTTTTACTAGAGATTTTACAGTGGGAAGAGCGCAGAACCAATAATTAGGACATCAGGACCAATCTGCTACTAATTTAAAGTGTGATCCTGGAAAATCATTTAGTTGCCTTGAGCTTTGATTTCTTCACCTGGAGATCATTTACATGAAACTAAATAGATTTTGTAATCTTTCTGAGGAGACCTCAACTCCAGGCAATCTTAGATGGGTCTGGGCAACTTCAACTGCCCCACTGGGCCTCTGATGATGAGGGAAGATGTCAGTTGTGCCTTTGAGGACACACCGGGCACTTTTTCTGAGTGACTGTTAAAAACAAATGCATGTTTTAAAAGTGTGCAGAGGTCTACTCAAAACATTTAATGGCATGAAAGAGAAAAAGAAGGATTCTTCTCTTTTTCTCATGAACTAGAATGGCAATACTTCATTATAAGTATTAAATTTTCTCCTCACTAATGCACACTTATTTAAGTTTGTGGCTATGTAACTTCTGTCTTCAAACCACTATTCAGATCCACAGGAATCATAGGCAAAGATATAAAAAGTTCTGATATAAAAGAAGACAATAAATAAAAATTACAGATCAATTACTCTTTTCCCCATAGAATTACCTCAAGAGATTTTACTCAGCTGACTCAAAAACAAAGAATGCCAACAATTTAGAAGCAAAACTCAAGGAAATGCAAATATTCTTCCGCCTGCCTATAACTGGAACCCTAAACTCCCATATCCTAGAAATCATGAATAAGCCCAGATGTGGAATGCCAGATGTTGCAGGTACAGGTACAGGGAGACCAAAATGGAATTCCAAAGTAATTACCTACAGGTTAGTTTTGCTTTGGCTCATTTGGCAAAAATAATAAAACCCTCTTCTTAACAGGACAGACATTGTTATCTTGTTTGCTTCCAGGCTTGCATCATATACTGCAGACTTACCATATGTCACAGTGAATCAGTTAATAGAAAAGGCCTTCAAGATGTGGAGCAAAGAGGTCCCACTGAGCTTCAGGAGAGTGAAATGGGGAATTGCTGATATCAAGATGAGTTTTGTAAGAAGAGGTAAGGAAGATTCCTGCAGGCTTACCCTCTGTGTTATTTTGTTTATATTGTCCACTTTGTTTTAGGATTTTAAATATGTTTATGTATGTATATATGTATACACACACATATATAAGTAAATGCACACACAGTGGTATTACACATTTTTTCTAGTCTCTTAATATAGTGTCCCTTTTTATAGCAGAAGATAGCAAACTATAGTCTATGAAGAAAATCCACAATAATGTATTTATTAAAAAATACTTATTAAAACTTAGTCATGGCTTTTCAGTTACCTGTTGTCTGTGAGGGCTTTGGGGCTACAATGCAGAAATGAGTAATTGTAACAGTGACCATCAAACCCACAAATACTAGCTTATTATCTGGACCTTTATTGAAAATGATTGCTAGATCCTCTTTTGTAGTAGTTATGCAGATAGGTAGGTAGGTAGGTAGACAAATAATCTATCATGGGACAATTTAAAACATGCCTAACTAACATCAACATAAAACCAGGAGAAGGGGTTCCCACACCAAAAGCCTCAAGTGGTCTCCAAGAAATGGGCCAGCCCCTGTGGCCTGTGACCAATACTCATTGGGTAGTCACAGAGTAGAAAGTAGAGAAGTCTCCTATTAAAGTACTTAAGGAGATATAACCATGAATTTCTATTAACTGCTAGTGCTTCATGATGCAAACTTACAGGAAAAATACTAATTATTTTGGTCTGTTCTAGTATTGAACTGCCTGGGTCCTGTGAATTTAGCTGAAATATGAACTTCAGCTGCAATATGAACAATACTGAGGAAAATGCTCAAAATGCACTGACCATGGCCCCCTGTTCTTCACGAACTGGATAAACAGGATATAGCCTGATACCAATGTGAAAAGTCATAGCTCTGCATCACAACTAAAAGCATTATCAATTCAATGATAACTGAACCATCAATCTCCAGTACAGAGACTGTCTACTATACTCACAAACAGTAAGCTAGGGTTTTAAGAAAAATGATACTAGCTAGTGCACAGCACTCAGTCATTCTCTATCCTGCCACTATCTGGCCAAACAAAGCAATCAAATTCAGCATAAATGCAACCATAAGTTATATGGGAATGTATTAAAATTCCACATCCAGGAAGCATTCAACATATGGTAATTATCATCAATGAGTGGAACTTCAAGGAAAGAAATAGTGCCAGTAGCAAAGCGACACCCAAAGCACCCCATATATGCAGCTGGCTGCTGGGGACAACAAAGCTGGCTGCTTGGACCATACAGATCTTTCAGTAATCATAGAAACAAAAGGTAAAGTAACTGGAGGTAAATTCAGACAGTGGGTGCCATCATCCTGTTTTCATTCAGAACACGGAGACCTGTATCCTTTTGATGGACCAGGAAACACGCTGGCCCACGCCTATTACCCGGGCCCAGGCTTGGGAGGAGATGTGCACTTTGATGAGGATGAGCGCTGGACTAGCGGCAGAACCTCAGGTACGGCATTTCTTATCCCACTGAATTTCCTCTGGAGAATCTCAAACTTCTTTGAAAATTGCCTTAATTAGTAATAATTATCCAGCTTTTGCTAACTGCCAGCCACTGTACTGTACTTTTTTTTTTTTTTTTGGTACTGTGTTTTAAATGCATTCTTTCATTTAATGCTACATATATAGTTGACCAACAGAGAATTAGGGGTGCCAACCTCCAAGCTGTCAAAAAATTTCCAAGTATAAATTTGGACTCCTTAAAACCTAACTACTGTTGACTGGAAACCTTACCAGTAACATAAAGGGTCGATTAACACATATTTTGTATGCTTATGTTCTATGTACAGTGTTCTTACAACACAGAAAACTAGGGAAAAGAAAGTGCTATTAAGAAAATCACAAGGAAGAGAAAATATATTTACGTATTAAGTGAAAAAAAGTCTTTGTTGAGTGGACCCTAGCAGTTCAAACCCATGTTATTCGAGTGTCAGTTGTGCGAAAACAGTAGCTCCGAATCAAGCCACATTGGTGCACTTTGTTTTCCCTCTACCGGTTACTAGCTGTGTGCCAGTGGTCAAGTTATTGAATTCCTCTGAGCCTCAGTTTTCTCATTTATGAAGTGGAAACTATAAATACTCCCACCTCCCAAGACTGTTGGTTGAATTAAATGAGAGACTATTTACTTGGGATGTATTAATAATTCAACAAATTATAGTAACTAAAAAAAGTATAGTGCTGTCTTTGTATTCCCCCAAAGTAAGTTTTTTAATTAGAGAGAGAAGAGCCATGACAATTCTGAGATTAAACAATCCATATCATAACCCAGTCTGTTATACTCATTTTCTTACATGGTAGCAAATTATAGAGACATCAGAAAACTAATGGAGGGAATCCCTGGTATAAATAATTCTAATTGGAGACAATTCTGAAAACAAAAAACAAAGATACTACTAACAGACCCTGAAAGGAAAATTAGTACTTGTGTTTGGTATTTGGAATTTACCACCATAGTGATGTCTTTCTGTGAAAATCTAACCTGTAAAAATCCTGACAAAACCTCCCTTTCACATTTTGCAAACCCTTTTCATTCTCCTTTCTTCCCATTCAAGTTGGCCAAAGACAACTTCCTTTAATGAATGCAACACAATTACTACTGGCTGCTCCTCATACTCATAGATTCACACTCTCTCCCTTATTTTCAAAGCCTTTCTATAAATCTGAGGGACAGAAAATGATTGAGGAAATCCAATTAAAGAGTCAAAACCAAAAACCAGCATTGCCTGGAGAGCTCGCCTTTCTGACTTTGCTTCCTCAAAGTCAATATTCTCTCTCCTGACACTCAAACTCACTATCACTTACTGAATAGTTGATACTTTTAAGATATTGCAGAAGAAATGATTATGACAAATCTGGAAGGTAGGAATCATCCCTGTTTAACAAATGAGGAACAGAGACTCAGTAATACAATTAATTTGTTTAGAATGCTCTAGCTAGTAAGCAGCAGTTCTATATATCAGACCCAGATCTTATGACATATAAAGCCTTTGCTTTCGACTACAAAATATTGCTATCTGATGATTCTTTTTTTTTAAAGATTTCTTTTATTTATACAAGAGCTGGGGTACAGGCCAGAGTCGCGGGAGGGTGAGAGGATTCACCAGAGGCAGAGCGGAAAGCAGAACAGGCAGACAGTCGGACCAAAAGCGCTGCTGAGGGGAGCAGCGGGTGAGACAGGAGAAGTCTGCCTCATCATGTGGGATTCTCCCCAGCCCGCTGGGAATTGAACCAGTGCTGCAGAGGCTGCAGACATCTTCACAGCGCTGTGCACAACGCGCTGCATCACCGGGTGGCCCTATTTGATGATTCCTTAAGAAACGAAGAGGTAGAAAACATTACTTAAAAAAAAAAAAAAAAAGCAGAAGTGGGATGATTAAAACACTTTGATTCTCTTTCCAAATCCTCCCCCCTTTGCAACAACTAAGAAACAAATAAATAAACTAGAAAGGATTTGAAGTTTTATTTTTTTAAGATTTATTTATTTATACAAGCACTGGGGTACAGGCCAGAGGCACGGGAGGGCAAGAGAATCCACCAGAGACAGAATGGGGAGCAGAAGAGGCAGAAGGACTGAAATACACTGCTGAGGGGAGCAGCGGGTAAGACAGGAGAGGTCTGCCGCGCCATGTGGAAATCTCCCTGGCAGGCTGGGAATCGAATCAGTGCCACAGAGGCTGCGGACAGCTTCACAGTACTGCACTCAACCAGCTGCGCCACCGGGGAGGCCCAAGAGTTGGTATTTTTATAGGTACTTTATCTTTTATTAGTATATGTTATTTACATAATTGTTTTTATAGTTACTGAATATCACTCTTTAATTTTAGGAATTAACTTACTATATGTTGCAACTCATGAACTTGGCCATTCTTTGGGTCTGAGTCATTCTTCTGACCCAAATTCCTTGATGTACCCAACTTATAAAGATGAAAACTTGGACGATTTCAAGCTTTCACGGGATGATATCAAAAGCATTCAGGAATTATATGGTAATATCAATTATTTCAAATTTGGGGGATTTCACATTGTCTCCATAGAGATTAGATGAAAAAGGTTGGGAAATGGATATTTTACCTGGAAAAATACAACAGAACTTGTTTTTGGAAAATATTCTGTGTTAAAGGATTAGAATTATTAATATTGTTAATATATACACACTCTTTAAAGTCATCTATAGATGAACTGTTTTTCCTTTGAAATATGATAGCAAATTTTTGTGGAAACAGAAAAAACATATAAAATTCAGATGAAACCACAAAAGACTGAGAAGGCAAGGTAATGCTGAGAAGTCACATGTCCTGATTTTAAACTATACTACAAAGTTATAAAAATCTAAACAATATCAAATAATGTGACATAAAACAGACATATAGGTCAATAAAACAGAATCAAGAGCCTAGAAATAAACCCACACATATCTAGTTAATAAATATTTGACAAATGAGTCAAAAATACTCAATGGGGAAAAGTTAGTCTCTTCAACAGATAGGAAAATCAATATTCACAAGCAAAAGAATGAAATCTTACACCATTCACAAAATAAATAGCTGATCACTCCAACAAGTAAATAGAATTTATCAAAGTTTGTTGAGGGGAGAAATTTGAGACCTTACCTACTCAAAATTTAATTTTTTATACCCTGAGGATATTGCTGTTAAGCTTTCTTTAACATAGTATCACTTGGTAAAGTCATTAAAATGACACTATCAAGGTTTTTTTCCAAGCTGCCACTTACCGTTTTTTCCATATCAATTCAAATACATTAAGAGAGTCTCTCCCTGCAGGAATGGCCTGAAAAACATAACACCATCCTCCCCAGATGACCACTTCTAAGGTGGCAGCCATAGGAAGTTAAGTGACCCTATTTTTCCTGCTTGCATGTCTGTGGGAGAGAGAGTCCAACCATGAAATTGGGGGGTCATGTCACTTATGAATATTCCATATCCCAACCTATACTTTTTTGTTTAATCAAGTTCAAAATTCAATTCAACAGAATAAACTTGTTTGTATTTGCTTGACAAAGTCAGTCAGAAATAATAATGTGAGAGGGCCTCCCCGATGGCGCAGTGGTTCAGCACTGTGCTGCGAAGCTGCCCGCAGCCTCTGCAGTGCCAGTTCGATCCCCAGCCACCAGTGAGGGTCCCACATGGCACGCAGACCTCTCCAGCCCCCCGCTGCTCCCCTCAGCAGTGTACTGCATCAGTTTGCCTGTTCTGTTCCCTGCTCTGGCTCTGAGAATTCTCTCACCCTCTCATGCTTCTGACTGTACCCAGTGCTTGTATAAATAAATAAATAAATAAATCTTAAAAAAAAAAAAAGAAATAATGTGAGAAAAGAATCAAAAGACAGGGGTCAGGGTGGGGTGGGGGAGACATGTGTATAGATAAAGATGACCCAAAAGAAGCTAGACAATATTGCCTGGTGGAAGGGGCAGGACAGGACACAGGGCAGGTTTTTTGATCCCATGCAGGCCGGGTAAAGGAGGAGTCAGAGTCCTCAGTGGGTTTTTGCAGGTCTTTTATTGGGGTTCACCAGGCATATGGCAGGCAGGGGTGCTGGGGGGCCGGGAGGCTGGCAGGCCTCCCAGCCCCCAGCAAATCCTCACTCTCTCTGGGCTCTCTGGTGATCTCGGCTTCTCTTCGGCTTCTGCTGCTGCTTTCTCGACTTCTGGCGTCCCTGTGACACTGCCCTTAAAAGCACAGTCCTAGCGCAGGTGTACCCACTTCAGGTGCCCGCCATCAGGCATGCATTGAGGATCACAGGGTTCCCTCATCTATCCTGATGGCAGGAGGGCAGAAAAGCCTGATATTTTTCCTCACCCTACACCTGGGTTCATGTGATGCCAAGAACTTCCACAGTGATTGGAAGGCAGGGTTGTGTGATGGCATGCTCGTCTAGCAAACACAGCATACTTCTCACCTCTCCGTGTTTGAAAGAAGATGGAAAAGAGAATGAGAACGCTACCATTATGTCCACAGATCCAATTAAACGTCCCAGTCAAATATCAGGATGATCAAAAACAATTGAAAAAGATTGCCTGAAAGACTTAGAATGATTAGCATATAAAGAGAGTGCTTCCACATCATAATGTCCACAAAGGAAATTCTTCCTGCAGGATAATGGATTTAAGCTATCAGCTGAACCTAGAATTTACTTTAAGTCAGCATTTCCCAAAGTGTGTTCCTAGAACTCTAGTCCTAAAAGACAATTCCCCAAAATGAATGCTATGGAGACACAAGTTCAAGAAACTCTCCCTATAGCATAGTGATTAAACAAGGAGTACCTTGCAAACTCTTGTCGACTCAGTGTTTACTAAAGTACAATTCTTTCGATGGCTCCATTGAGCCCCACAGAATAGCATTTCAGAGGACACCTTGGAAAACACTGAATAGCAGCAGCTGACTGACAGAAAGAGCCGCTGCTGAAACAACTAAGGTAGAGAACTAGGAAATCCACTAAGGTAGAAAACCTGGAAATCTGCTTCTTTCTGTGTTCTTCATGTCAGTTTAGCTTGTATGACTGCATGGATTTCAGTCTCCTACATCCCATACTACTCCCATCCGCTTATACCAGCCACCTGCCTACAGAAGAACCCAGCAAGGCTACCTTTATTATCGCTGCTTAGAGAACATTCCATTTCCCATATGTGCCTAGTCAACAGCATTAAGGGCAGATTCTTAGTTTTCCTTCTTTGCAGATTCTGACTCAGTTGGCTTGAGATGAAACACAGATGATTCTTCTCATCAGCGATGTTTGGAAAACATACCAAATGGAATGAGTGGAGAATGTCCTCTTTAAAAGGACAGCAAAGAATGTATCTAAGTGGGACATGTGTCTCTTGCAAAGCCAGAGAAATCTGTATTGTCAGAAAAGTTTTCTCTCTTCTCCATAATCAAATAATATTAGTTCTCTGACAAAAAGAAAAGAAAAATTCAACCAAAAAAAAAAAAAAGAACTGCAGTTGTCAAAGAATCTACTGTTGGTAAAGTTATCACCAACAAAACAAAATACTACCTCCCCTTATATGACACTGGAACATGTGAATATGCTACAGGATCTATATCTTAGAGATTTAAGACTATTAGAAAGGGACTGAAAACGATTCTGGGGCAAGCTAATTAGATTTAATCTCAAGAGGACAGACTAGGGTATTAAATCCTATCTATTAAACAAAGAGGTGCCCCTAGTTGAAGTTGAAGAGAGGTAACATCCGAACCAATGAAAATCAGATTTAGTGATAAAGGTTGCAAATGGAGGGAGTTTGTAAATTTAAGAAGTGATGTGAATGGGGAATACAAATGTAAAAGAATATGATTAAACTCATCGATGCAAAATGCCCTGTGTTCTTTTCAGAATTATAAAAATAATAGTATCCTCGCACCAAGCATTTACCACACACCCAGGACTTCATGTGTGCTAGTATTGAAGCCAACACTCCAATGAGTCATTGTTATCTTCATCTTACAGATTGGTAATCTAACATGAAGAGAGGTTAAGTAGTAACTTGCCAAGGTCATTAAGCTGGTAAAATGGCAAGGACAGAATGCAAAAATATCTAACCTCCAGGACACGTGATCTGTACAGCAACTGCCTTCTCAGTTTTTGGATGTGGTTTGGGGAATGACAGATTGTACAGACTGCCATTTCTAGTGTTTTTATAGTCTTGCAGTAGTCTTTATGTGTTTTATACCATGTCAGAATTCCTTATCTTCTGTCCCAACAGGAGTGAAAAAAAAATTTTAAAGAATTTAGAACCATCAGGAAAAACATACTTTCACTCATTGGCTTTTATGTCATTTGCTCCTCATCGGGAATCAAATGCCTCCCCTGTTCTGCAGTCCATTCAACATGACCTTCATCCTTCTTTGTACTGCAGTTGGTTTTTGCATGTATAGCTCTCCCTCTGGGGAAGAAGTCCTTTACTCCTGTTCCATAAGCATCTAAGACTCACCTCAAGGAACTTGCACCTGACAGATGTCAGTAAATGTCAAATACACAAATAAAATTTGTATTCCATGGTAAAAGGGTTGATATTTGAGAGCACTGTTTCTGTCGAAAGACATGCTATACAATGAAAGCAAAGACTACGACCTCCCAAAGACATCCCACCATGTTATTTTGGGTATTTAGATGCACCTCACCCAATCACCAGCTGGGTAGGGTGATCGTTAAACCTTTATTGCTAATTAGTGTAGCCTAAAGATATACTGAGTTCCCCTTCACTTTTTGGTCCAAGCTCTCCGAGTGTCCTGAGATGTAAAATTTCAAACAAAATGCCTTGAATTCCCAAGATTTATGTTCTTGTAGTCACTCTGGTTCTGAGTTCCTACTCCTGACCTAATTTCACTGCCTCTCTCCTGCCACAGCTACTCTGTGTCCCCTTTTCTCTGTCCCCTGCCAACCCAGACATCCATCAGTCTCACCCTCACCTGTTCAACTTTCTCCAAATCAGCTTTTGTGAGACTGTTGACATTGCCACACATTTGCATCAACAGTGAGCTTTTACACTGCACAGAGACTATGAAACTGAACAAAATGGAAATTGCATATTGTCCCCATCCTTCAAATCTTGTTCCAGATATAGATAAAATGATATAGATGTGCCAACAAATTTGCAGCTATGTTTTAAAACTTCCACATGGTGTCACCCTTCCTCTTATAAAACCATTTATCATTTAAACCAGAGGCAATTTATTAATTCTAACTCAAAGAAGAATTGCTACAACAAAAAGGCTGTGTCGATCAACAAAGATGAGTTTCAGTTTGTACCCTCCTTTGCCTTCACAACCCACCTGTCAATGCCCCATCCAAAAAGAGGAAACTAAGAGCTAGTGCTTTACTGTGCAGGGGACAATATGAATCTGTGTAGAACTGTTTCTTTGGGGGTAAAGTTTATGTTTTCTGCAATTAGAGAAGGCTGTCATGCAATATGATATTTGAGAGCACTGACCCATACCCACTTATTTACTAGTCATTCTAAATGTGTGAAAGATTTACTCTGATTACTGGCAAGCATATAGAGGACAGCAAATTGTGCTTTGACCTGCTCTCCCCTTGAGGGACAGCTGTGATGGACTGCTGCAATATTGATTGGTGAGTGTAAGAGGAACTGTGAGCAGCAATCTCCAAGTTATTGGGTGCCTCTTCTAGTCACCTTGATGGTGGTAGTGGAGATTTTCTAATTCCTCCCCCTGAGCAGGGGCTGGTTGGAGGAAGTAGTAGTGGAGCTGAGACTTTTGAGCAGTTAAGCTGCTAAGGCTCTCATCCAGTTAAAACTGCTGGGGCTAGGGCAGTTAAGCTGCTGGGACTTTAGTGGTTGAGTTATTGGACTTGTGACAGGTAAATCACTGGTGAGGAGAGATTTTGAACAGAAGCCACAAGATGAACAGATACAGCTTTGGTTTGAATCTGTATCTCTGCTCAATGGATGCTATCTGGGGTAGGTCAGATAGTATCCATCTCTCTCTCTCTCTTTGTAAAGGCTGGACAGGACACAGTGCAGGTTTTCTAGGATCCAGCAGACCGGGTAAAGGAGGAGTCAGAGTCCTCAGTAGTTTTGCAGGTTTTTTATTGGGGTTCACCAGGCATATGGCAGGCAGGGGTGCTGGCTGGGGGCCTGGGAGGCTGGCAGGCCTGCCAGCCTCCCAGCCCCCAGCAAGTCTTCACTCTATCTGGGCTCTCTAGCGTTCGTTCTGCTGCTTCTCGGCTTCTCCTTCGGCTTCGGCTTCGGCTTCTACTGCTGCTGCTGGCGTCCCCGTGACGCCGCCCTTAAAAAGCACAGTCTTAGCTCAGCTGAATCCCATCTACCTATGCACACACCCTATTCCAGGTGCCCGCCATCAGGCATGCATTCAGGACAAGGATCCATCATCTAACCTGATGGCGGAAGGGCAGAAAAGCCTGATATTTTCTTTACCCTACACCCTTTTTCCTTACTTTCTGTGTAAATAAATCCTGTTATTGTTGCTTCCTACTGTACATACTTTTGCATCCTGTCCTGCAGCTGTAAATGGTGGGTAAGGACCCACCAACTGGGACAATAGCATTATGATTACCAGATGGTGATGAGTAAAGCTTTAAGGGGCTACACAGTCTTCTATCCCTATCATCTTTTTCTGAGGCATTTTTCCAAGTATTGTGAACTTTAAGGACCAGAGGCCAGTAGCTTTCCTTGCTTATCATCAGGATGGACATTCATTCCTGGGCTGATACCGGTGGTTATCAAATTTTCTTTGTGTACTTGTTTATGGGCTAAAGCAACACTAGAAAGTGACCTTGAAAACAATCTCAGCATCACAAAATGCATTTGAGAGCTTCATTTTTTTGCTCTCAAATTAGTAAGTTTACCACCCCAGAATTAAAACAAGCAACTACAGTTGACCCTTGAACAACACAGGGATTGGAGGTGCTGACCCCTATACAGTTAAAAATCCAAATACAACTTTTCATTCCCCCAAAACTTGACTACTGGGCCTCCCTGGTGGCGCAAGGGGTTAAGTCTCAGCATTATGAAGCTATCCACAGTCACTGCAGCTGAGTTCGATCTCTGGCCAGGGAGGTGACCCACATGGCACAGCAGACCCCTCCTGTCTCACCTGCTACTTCCCTCAGTGGTGTATTTCAGTCAACCTACCTGTTCTGTTCCCCACTCTGTGTCTAGTGAATCCTCTCACACACCCCCGCACCTCTGGGCTGGACCCCAGTTCTTGAATGCATAAATAAATAAATCTTTAAAAAAAAAAAACAAAACTTGGCTACTCACTAATCACCTTCTTTTGACCAGAACACTTGCTGATGACATGAACTGTCATGCTGCAGGGGGCCTTCCTGCCCCAGCCAGATAAGATGCTGGCAAGCAGCTAAGAAAAGGCCTCACACCATGGGGCCAAAGACCTTTAAAGAGCCCCACACTGTGGGACTGAAGATTAAGCATCCCTTTGTTTTTTGTTCTTGGTCATAATAAGAAAGAACTTCTCAGCAAATACATTGGGCAATAAATTATACATACAAGAATATTGTTAAAGTACATGGCACGGAGAATTACTTGCTTAAAAATGAAACACTGAACAATTTGGCCCACTTGACAATGGGAAATAATTACTGTACAGGAGCATGCCTGATAAGCAACCCAGAGCTGGCTGCAATTTTCCTTATATGGAAGTTCCATAAAGAAGCCTTTTAATGATTCATAAAGTTAATGACGTTAGGAATTTCTAGGTAGAAAAAAGTTCTGATAACTGATAACCAGGAAGCAACTGGTCTCTAGTTGCAGGCCATATAGATAGAGGAGCCTCCTGATATTGTAGCCTTGGCAGACAGGGATATACCAAGGACTATTAGCTGTCTTAGGTAGTTGTTTAGGCTGAAATAATGAGTCTAAGTTTTTATTATCTGTTAACTTTAAAGGTCACTTCTTTTCTCAAAACACGTAGGTGCCAAAATGTCCATGGGAAAGGAATGTACTGATTGTTTGTTTTGCTTCTATGCATATGATGATGTAATCTTACCGCTTGCTTTAATGTATAAATAAAGACCCGCTGAGACCCTTAGCAGGAGATAACTGCACCAGATACAGTGTCTGTGTCTGCCTCATTCCCCTTCCCCTCAGTCCTCAGTTTCACCGACGCCGTCTCATCCTTTCAGGGACACCTGACCCGACATTTTACCGGAGCTGGCCTTCGGCACTGTCAATTCACATGTTTTATGTATTATATACTATAGTCTTACAATAAAATAAGCTAGAGTAAAGAAAATGTTACTAAGAAAATCATAATAAAAAGAAAATACATTAATGCACTGAACTGTATACTATACTATAAGTTCACATCATCTGTTTATACAAAAATCTACATATATGTGAACCCACAAAGTTCAAATCCATGTTGTTCAAGGGTCAACTATATACAGAAAAATTGAGGAAAACTTAAAGATGATACCCTTTAGTCTTTGTCAGTGGTGTAATTGTTAGGGGGAAAAGGATGTCCCAAAGCTATTTCCATATAGGCTTTGTGGACTCCACCCCCACCCCAGGTCAAAGCCAAAGACCCTGGGAACTCCAAATCCCATCACCACCAAAGGTGAATTTTTCTTTTCTTTTTGTCAGAGAACTAATATTATTGCATTCCGTCCTGAATCCACAAAGTTTTTGTTTTGTTTTGTTTTGTTTTGTTTTGTTTTGAGTAACCAGGATCTGCAGCAAGGTTGCAATTTTTTTTCCAGCAAAGCTAACTTGTCACATTTTCTCTCCCCTTGATACCAACACAGCATACAAATAGTGGTAGTAATTTTTGCTACTTATCTCAGAGTCTGTTTTTGCCTAACTTCCATAGGGATTTTGTCTGCTTAAACAAAAATTGGACGTGAGTTTGATTGTGTGGCTTTGTGTGGAGTTCTTCCAGAAAGTTGAAAAAAAGCTGAACCAAGAAGAGGAGAACCTGTTTGCTTTGTCTGTAGGGTTCCAGAGACCTCCAAAGAAGGTGAGGAAGCTTGCCTCCATTGGCAGGACTGGACAACCCGGCCAACGAAAATGCCCTGGTACCCTCGAGAAGAGGAAAGCCCAGGTGGAGTCTGATGAGACCAACTTTGTACCTGAAGCATACATCGACTGGATGCCACCGGTTCGCTCTGATCCTATATGGAGTATTTCAACAAAGCCAGCTAAAATTGCTGTTAGTTATTTTCTGCCCTGTGATTTTATGCAAAAATAGAAAAAAATGGCTTAAAAGTAGATTTAGTTTGCAAACTTTTGCTATGCTGTTAAAAGTTTGGGATCAAGGTTGAGAAAATTTGTGTTTTACACCAGTTGAACCATTTTAAGATTTTTTTTTTTCCTGTGATTTTTACATATCTGCTGTCTTGTTTTGGCTAATGCCTCCAGATGTCTCTTTTTTTTGGCTTGAACTGATGAACTATTTTTCTTGGAGTAAAGGACTTTTGCTTTCCACAATGGACAAATACCTGGAGAGACTGGTTTTCTTTCACACTGGAACCTAAAAAAATGTTCATCTGAGACTGCATCCCAACCTCCATATATTCGATCTTCATCACCATGGAAATGGTGGCAAAAAGTGAAAGGGGGGAATTGTTAGGGGGAAAAGGATGTCCCAAAGCTATTTCCATATAGGCTTTGTGGACTCCACCCCCACCCCAGGTCAAAGCCAAAGACACTGGGAACTCCAAATCCCATCACAACCGAAGGGAAGGTGGCTGGGACCTGAGGGTGGGTTAAGCAGCCAGGTGGATAGAAAAGGCAGACACGTGGGCTTTGGGGGACCCATTTTGGGCTCTCCACCAGCTCACAGCATCCGGCCAGCTCTGAGAGTGACTTTGGGTTTCCAGGTCATCGGATCGGGTAGGACGCATTAAAGACTTTATTTCCCTATTTTCTCCCTGAGTTGTACATTTTCCTTATTTCCTTTCCTCTTGTAAATAAACCTTTTATTAACCTTTTTGAGTGTGTCTGTAGTAGAGTATTCATAAGTCCCTTTAAAGCGCGCAGGTGAGGACCCACAGCCAGGAACCCGTTTAATATCGGGGTTGCTCTATAACATGATCATTATTGAGATAACCAGAAAATTAGGGTTTAGTTAAAAAGGCCTAATTGAATTGAATTACAAATTCACTTTATATTTGTTAAAAGAAATTCATGAGTTGATGGCCTGGAAAAGCAACAACTGAATAGTGACAAGTTCCTGAATGATTTGAAATTCTAGCCAAACGTAATACCTGAGTATACCTTTTCAGTTCTATATAACTAGATCATACTCAATGAAGAATCTACCTCAAAGTAACTAGATGACAACCTCTTAATCTAAGGAATCATTCTGGTATAGAACATCTGAACAATAGCCTAAAACCTGTTTAAAGCTTCTCCTCCCACATGACATTAATATGAAAAGTAAAGTTCTTGGTAGAATAGGCAGAATCTATGTCTGAATTCTTCAGAATTAGAAATTTAAATGACTAGCACAATCATTGGTACATAGAAGTTGTCTAATAAATATTTGTTGAATGAATCAATGGATTTTTAAATTTAACTTGCTCAATCAAACTTTTCATTTTAGACATTTTCCAAAAGATGATGATATAAATCAAAAGTGATAAGTAAGGTGTCTAATTTAAATTTGAAATAACTAAGTGGTTTCTATTCAGCTATTAAGGATTATTACTAAGAAAGATGTTAATTATAACTTACTGAGAACAGAATTCTTTTGAACTTCATTTTTCCCTTGTCCATATCAGACAATTAGGCCTTTTAACTAAACCCTAATTTTCTGGTTATCTCAATAATGATCACACCACCGACAAAGACTAAAGGGTATCATCTTTCTGACATGGAATTTATCTGTTTTGTTTTGCACCTGGAAAAACATAAAGCAGGCACCTACTTTATATTTGTTAAAAGAAATTCATGAGTTGATGGCCTGGGAAAGTAACAACTGAAGAGTGACAAGTTCCTGAATGATTTCTCCATTTTCTGGGCTCACTAGGATAATCATTGCTAGTGTATAAATACTTTGAATGATTATTCAGAATACTGTGCATCACAAGCACTCTGTTGCTTTATATATATATCCTTTTGGTTGTCTATTGCTAAGAGTAAGTAAACCCAAAACTTAGTGTCTTGAAATTATGGCAAACATTTATTATCACTCACAATTCTGAGGAATTGTGGTGGTTCTTCTGCTGGTCTTGATTGTTTTTTTACAAATCTTCCACCCAAAGTTGTACCAGGTTGTCCAAGGTGGCTTCATGCCATCTGAGGCCTTGTCAGGGATGGCTGAAGAACTGGCATCAAATCCGAGACGCCAAATCCCAGAGCTGCTGTTTCCAAGAAAGAAGAAACAGAAACATTACTTCCTTCAAGTTCTATGGATTACAGCAAACCTAGTACCGATCAACCTGAATTCTGAGTGAGGGAAAATCAACTCCAATTCTCAACAGAAGAACCTCAATGACAGAGACTATGTAACCTATTCACTCCACCCTATATACCTGCATCTAATCATTATAGCAACACTGAAAGGTAAGTAAATTTCATCTGTTCATAACAGATGAAATTTGCAGAGCTGGAATGCAGTGACACTGGTTTGAAGGCATGTTTGTATGTTTCAAGTCATTTTTGACTGTCTCTCCAGTAAGAGAACATTAAGGATATATGTACTGGCTACACAACTGACTGTCTATTTAACTTTGTATCTGGACTTGGTCACTTGCCTCATTCTTGTCCCTAAAAATCATCAGTCAGGACCTAGTATTGCTATTTGCCTCCAAATTCTGCCCCTTCAGAGTTTCTCATCATTGTTGTCAAAACAAGTCAGTCATTCCCTATCCAGCTTCCTTACTTTTCATAATCCCAACAACCACCAGTGCAGGTCCTTTGGTTGATTGAGACTGTGTTCAGGGAAATTAACCACACAGAATTCAGCTCCAGGCTAAGGACCCTTATATGGCCGTCATTTTCTCTGTGGATACATCCCCCAAGACTATGAAATGGTTTCATAGTGACCTGACAATCATGATTCTTCCCTACCCACAGTCCTAAAATATTCCATATTTTCTTCTAGCTCTTTATTTGTTTTTCCTATCTTGGAGTTTACTTTCATATTTTGCCTGAGGTGGAGATCTAATTTATGTTTTCCCACATAGTGAAAAATATTTCATTAACCCTCATTCTGCTGTCTCTTTCTGGATTCTATTCTGTTCCATGATCCATTTATATGTTCCTGAACCAGTGCCACATTGCTTTTCCTACTATGGCTGAATGATACATCTGAAAATCTAGTAGAAGCAGTCTGTCCTTTCTTTGCCTTTCTTATATAAGATTGTCTTAATCAGGGTCCATGCACAATGTTCTGGTAATTCCTCACTGACTAATTTTGTAAGTAAACTTTTATTGACATGCAACCATGCTTACCTGCTAACATACTGTCTGTGGCTTGTTTGAGCTCTCTGATGACTGAGTTGCATAGATACATCCAGTCATCCAAAGCTAAAAGCATTTAGTATCTGAACTTTTATAGAAAAATTTACCAACCCCTGATCTTAGTAACTTGTATTCTTCCACATAAATTTCACAGTAATTTTATAGGGGTTCCCAATTTTAAGTTCTTGACTGCAGGCCACAGAAGTGGATTATAACAATGCAGACGTCAATTCATTGGAGGAGGTACGAGAAAGCTCACGGGAGATCTGAGGATGAAGACCTGAGAAACAGGCTCAAAACTAAACGAGAAGCAAGGGAGGCCTGGCCACCGGCAAAACAATGCTTCCCGGCCACTGCTTCTGACACCCCCATGGATGCTGCACAGGATCCCCTGCTTTTTTAAGGTCACCTGACACAATCTTGCTTTTATAAATACCTACATTAGTCCCAGTTTTTACTAACTGATGAAATCTGAAGAGTATTTTGCTTTTATGACAAAGGACAAAAAGTGCGGACCTCATCAGCATGTTTCTTGGCAGTTGTTCTAGAAACTGCTGCCACCGCAGCAGGAAAGCAGCCCCTCGGAGTTGAGGTCTTCGCTGAACTTTATACAGGTATATACCTATCATAGCTTTCCTGCTTTTACTGTGTGTGATTGTGATTTTAGGCTTCATGTCTTTTGGTAAGACTTAGTTGATTGTTTTGTGGGTCTGGGAACATGTTTTTTTAATTTTCATTAAGTGAATGATCATTAACTTTCATTAACTTTCATGTATGACAAGAATAATGAGAGGGAACTCCCGCCTAGGTTAGTAATTATGTGGAGGTGGTAGGGAAAGGAAGTCTGGAGGTCTAGAAGAAGGGGGCAGCCTGGCTCTTCTCCAAGTTAGGACCCAGGGAAACAGCAGGATTCCAGACCAGGGGTTCAACTAGGGAAGCAGAAGCCTGAACACTAGATTTTAGAGCTTTGCCAAATATTCTAGTGTCCTCAATGTGTCAGAGAAGCTACCAGAAGCTGCTAGACCTGATAGAATTGTACAGACACAGACAATGGACAGCTCAGCAGTAACTGAGGTGGAACTATGACTAACAGTCATAATGTGTTTTTTGAAGCGATTTCATACCTCTCCCCTCCTAACTTCCTTCTTTTCTAAGTTCAACACCCTTGTTCTTTTGACTTTCCTGTTCCATCCCCAAGTCCTTTGACATCTCCATACACACCCTTATTGTTAATGTCATTTTGATAGGGAAAAAATATTTCAGAATAACTGTGAAAGTGACAAGCACGAGGCCTGAGGCCTCGTGTCACAACTGGAGCATCTAGATTCAGAGTTCAGAGATATCTAGATAAGCTCCTCCTTTCACATATACAGAGACTCATCACAGCAAGACCTGCTCCTAGCCCAGGAACTCTCAGGGGTAGA